AATGTCATAGAATAAGTAAAGACATGCAAAGATCACAAAGAAAAGGAATAATTACTTATTTTGTTTTATATTTATGTTCAGTTTTTGGAATGTTCTGCATGAATGTAATTTTTTATATGATGTTGGAAGGCCATGCATAGTTAAAGCACTGTTCTAAGGGCTAAGGAGATTCAAGAATTCAGAAAAAGGAAGATATCAGTTGAGTTTGTATTAAAAAATGTTAAAACTCAGAATAAAAGCCTTTTTTCAGCATAAAATATCTTTGAAGTTTTCTTGAAATTAACATTAAAATCTTGTCTCATTCTTGGAAACTCAGTCCTGTGTCTTGTCTCGAGAGTTTTATATATCATTACACCCTTATTATGCCTGTAAAAAAATATTGGCAATGTGTTTACCATGCAGCACATGCATCTGTTACAGCTTTAATTTGTTTACTTATGGTTTCTGGAATTCATTTTATGGTAACTGCTTGACTTGTCTTCAGTGTTTGAATATAGGAGTCAAAATAATCCCACATGGATGCGAACAAAAAAAGGCTGATCTGAACCACGGCACTTAACTAATGCTCATTAGTGTATGCAAGTGTTCTCCGTGCGTCCTGCTATCTGCATGTAAAAATATCAATTGCAACTGTGCTTGGAGTTGTTTATTCTTGAAACCATGTGTCTAATCATAGCGTTGAGTTTTGTGTGTGTGCGTGCACTTGTATGAATGACCCTGACCTTGTTTCCGGTTGTTTGTAGAGAGCTAATGATGGCGCTTTTTAACAGTAAATATATTTGCAAGAGCCTTGATCTAGATTAGAAAACAGCTTTAATGAAGAGAAAGTGGGACAGAAGCAGGGTCGAACAACCCAAAGAACTTGTATGTCGACAAACACGCACAAAACAACCTTTTCTATCGACAGCACCACAGAATATAAGAGTACTCATCAGATTAAGCTACTGGCGCAGTGAATGAAAACAAAATAATGGAACTAATGGTGAGCTTGCAGACCAGAATGTTTTTAGAAATAGAATTTAAATAATGGTTATTCATCTTTGTTTCTTTGATTCATAGATGATAATTGGAAAATTTGATGTCATGCTGAGTGCACAATTTGTTTTTGTTTGTATGTTTGTTTAGCAAGAGCTGCCCTGGCAACACAAAACCA